TAATTACACCAAATAGCTGTATGTTGCACTTGGTGCGCTAAGCAATGAACTGTATGGTTATGGTTTCTTTTGGTTTCCCTTGAAACACGCAGAAGGAGGTCTAGCATTTTGAGACCCCAACTGGGGGTGTGCTTTTTGAGAGCACCCCTTGTTGGGGTTAGATGGTCATGAATCTTTGTTAGAAGTTTAGCCAACAGTTGTAAGGGTTCTTGCTAAGGAAACCATGGCCATGACTGACAGGTTGTTTTGCTACTTGTACACGTGGTCAAAATGAGAGGGTTGCTTTTGGGAACTGGGGTGCCATTCAGCAATGACCCCCAAAGGGACGGTTAGATGGTTTTGCAGATAGCCCGACCAGTATATTTTCTCCAAGAAGCAACTCTATCATAGTGTCCTGCCTTTCCGGGGGGATCCTCAAGATTGTTTGTTTGTTTGCCTGCCTGTTTGGTCTGTCTGTCCTGTTTGTCCGTTTGTTTGTTTGTTTGTCTGTCTGTTTGTCTGTCCTGTTTGTCCGCTTGTTTGTTTGTTTGTTTGTCTGTCTGTCTGTTTGTCTGTTTGTTTGTTTGATTGTTTGTTTGTTTTTTTGCATTTGTTTGTCTGTTTTGCTTGTTTGCTTGCTTGCTTGCTTACTTGCTTGGTTTCTCGCCTGCTTGCTTGCCTGCTTGCTTGCTTGCTCGCTCGCTCGCTTGCTTGCTTGCTTGCTTGGTTTCTTGCCTGCTTGCTTGCTTGCTTGCTTGCTTGGTTGCTTGCCTGCTTGCTTGCCTGCTCGCTTGCCTGCTTGCTTGCTTGCTTGCTTGATTGGTTTCTTGCTTGCTTGCCTGCTTGCTTGCTCGCTCGCTCGCCGGCTTGGATGATTGGTTGGTTTGTTTGTTGCTTGCTTGCTGACTTGCTCGCTAGCTCGCGTGCTTGCTTGCTCGCTTGCTTAGTTGGCTCTTGCTTGGTTGGTTGTTGCTTGTTTGCTTGCTTGCTCGCTTGCTTGTTTAGTTGGATGGTTGCTTGCTTGCTTGCTCGCTCGCTCGCTCGCTCAGTCGGTCGGTCGGTCGGTTGGTTGGTTGTTGCTTGTTTGTTTGATTTGTTGTGTTGTGCTGGTGCTATGTTGTCATGTGTGCTGTGCCGTGCAGGTGGGGCGAAGTCTTGGCCATGCAGCCCGAAGAGGCCGCCGAGGCGTGCGGGCGTCGGTGGTTTTTAGTTACTCTCCGATTCTCATCGTAGCTCGGAATGGTACCAACCCATGGGCGACGCACAAGGGCCGCCCTCAAAGAAAAGCCCGATTCCGCCAGATCGTCAAAAGTGTAACGTTCCTTCACAAACCTCCGGGGAAAAAGAGAGCTGCCGTGAACTCTTAGCCAATCATCAGCCCCCCCCAAAAAAAAGCAACAAACAGAAAACATAGCTAAACTATACCCAAAGAAGGTGACACTTTCAGCCCGCACAGGCCCCACCCCCCCCCCAAAAAAAAAAACACAAAGAAGACAAACACTGTACCCTAAAGAAGGTGGTTGCAAAAACCCTAAAAAACCAAACAGGAGGGGTCAGTCGGTTTGTCTCGGGACGGATCGAATTGACATCAACTTCCGACAGTTGAGATGATCCCAAGGACACCCATCATATCAAGAATCATGAGTTAGGTTTGTGATTGAGAACTTGCACAGCTGGGTGCAATCACGTCAACGTCACTCAGAGGACGTTCCATAGCCGTACCGTAGGGTTGCTCACTTGCCCGTCTCATGTCTCGGTTGCTCCCCCAGTCATTTCGCAAGCGTTGCCCTGCCTGGCAAGGTCTGGTGGACCGCTCAGAAGAAGGCCAACATGCAGCAGCCCTAGAATCGCCCATGGCCCGCGCCATAACTCTGTTGCCCAGTGGCGCCCTTTTCCTTTTTTTGGGTAAGGGTTCCCCTGTACATTCAACCAACAAAAAATGGTGCCTTTTTTTCCTATGGTCACTGGGCATCTAAGATAATGCTATCAGGACGTGACACTGAAAGGAGGCAAAGAGGGCGAGGATGATAGCTGGTCCTTTGATAGCGTCCAAAAGGGCCTATCCAGGCGCAATGGCCCTGACATGAGCAACTGAGAAGTGACACCGGGGATACCATGAGTTTACCCGTGCATTTGGGGAGGACTGGTCTCCACATTTGACTACCACAACCAATGTCCTTTCTGGAGAACTCAGCGCTTTATCCAGGGCTCGGATGGATCGGGTGGGAAGCCACTGCCATGTGGTTGTCAGTGGCGTTCTCGTTTTCCGGTGTGCTAAATCAAAAGTGGTTTCGCAACCCCTGTACAGGTCAGTGGCCGCGAAGCTAGATGCTGTGGTTGAAGCGTGCAAAGAAATGTGCACTTGTGCGGCACTTGCCATTCCTATCTCGTGCCTATGCTCGAAGCGCAGCTCTGAAAGCCACAGCACAACCCCCTAGGAAGTGAAGCAAGTACTTGTTTCTTCGTGTGTACGTTTGGTGACATTGCGTTTTGCGCTTACTCACCAAGGTCGTGTGACCGAATCGCCTCTTAGACCTCTTGGAAACAACAGGCTTTTCTATACCTACAAAAGGGGATCGACCTTTTGCGGGGGGCGTGGTTTGCTCCCAGACACTTGCTCGGATGGGATACTCCTGGTGATTGCTTCACGGCCAAGTTTGGTTTTTGGTACCCTAAGATTTAACCACTAAGTTGCCCTAGAGAGAACCCCGTTGGCGGGTTGCCCCAAGGCTCCACGAGCCGAGTGTTCTAACACGGGCCCGTTGTGCGTTGAAGCTGTTTACCTCTATCTTGCATCGTAGTCAGCAGGTCCCGTTTGGAGTTCTCGTGTTCTTCCCCCCAAACGTGTCCACCTCGGGAGATTATTTAGACCCGCCAACCAAATGCCCAAACTTCCATATGAAAAGGGAAACACGACATGGGCCAATCTCAAGGTGAGTCAGATACACGTCCAGATCCACAATAATGCTTTTATGAAACCTTTGAATAAGCTCGTTTTGCGAGCATGTGTTTGGTCATTTGGTTGTTTCTTCACCTAAGGACCATCAGTTGTATCATCAGGGCGTTTCGAACTCTGGGAAACACCAGCCACCTCCACTGGCGTCCTTTTCTTTAGTTCCCTTTCCAAGTCAGCTACAAAGAGGTGGCCTTTCTATGGAAATCTGCACTGGCCGGCTGGAAAATGCGAGGCAGAGCATGGACTTCCTGCAGAACCAGGCCCCCATGTGAGCTCGCGGCACAGAGTGCTAGGAAGGCGTTGCACAGCATTGCCAACATGAAGCGATCATGTGCATGATGTAAAATGCGTATAGTATATAGAAAGAGATAGATAGATGGATAGATGGATAGATAGACAGATAGAGAGATAGAGAGAGAGAGAGAGAGTTAGTAGTTTGTCGATTCATGCGTTGTTTCTATGCACATGTTTGTGTGGGTCTTATGGCAGTCCTCAACTCCAACCATAGTCTATGTGGATGACGAGAACAGTGTTCTCCCAAATTGATTGATGGTACAAGGAACATTGAGGATGAATGCGCCGGGCCCTGCCGAAACCATGATTTGAAGCTTGTGGATCGGTTCACTGGGCCAGCATCAGACTACGGTTGAGTGAGGGCGCCACAAAAGGGAGCTCAAACCCACAACACCAGAGCAATGGCCCTGTTCCATGGACGGAAAGTTGGGTGCTCAGGTCTGGCAGACTCACCCAACTTGACAGAGTGATGCCCGGCCTATCCCTTGAATAATAATTGAGAGGCTCGCGTGCGCACGCGAGAAAGGTCTCGGCGCTGTCTAGCGCAAAACAGAGATTCGGAGGTCGCAAGTAAGGCCTTCAAACTGCCAGGCGGAAGGGGCCGGAAGTGTCAAAGAATCGCAGAACTATAGCTCACTCCCTGAGTTTCTGGATATCTCACTAAGACTAGTGGCAGGCAAAAAGTTCGAGCATTTTGGGACGCATCCACTTAGATAGTGAGATAGTTTTGAGCACGCATTATCCCCTTTCTCCTCCTTTTCTTTTTTTTGCCTTCTCTGGCTCTCTCTCTCTCTCTCTCTTTCCTTTCTCTGTCTGTCCGTCCGTCCGCCTGTCCGTCTGCCTGCCTGCCTGCCTGCCTGCCTGTCTGTCTGGCTGGCTGGCTGGCTGTCTGTCTGTCTGTGTCTGTCTGTCTGTCTGTCTGTCTGTCTGTCTGTCTGTCTGTCTGTCTGTCTGTCTGTCTGTCTGTTTGTCTCCCTCTCTCGTCACCCAGCGAAAGTGCGACATCACCGAGCGTCGACGCAGAGGTTCACCGTCGATGCTTGCGCGCGATACAAATCCAGACAAGCAAACAAACAAACAATCAAACAATCAAATAAAGAAGCAAAGAAACAAAGAAAGAAAGAACAAACAAGCAACCAAACAACCAAGCAGCCAAACAACCAACCAACCAAACCAAACCAAACCAAACCAATCAGACATACAAACAAACTCAGCCAAACAAGGAAGCAAACAATCAAGCAAACAACCAAGCAAACAACCAAGCAAACAAACAACCAGGAGTGTTTTGAGGTTGACAAAGTCCGCAGAAGGTTCGAAGCGAGAAGCGCTATACAGGAAAGAGTTTTGGATTGTCAACCCCACGGAATTCCGCAAAGGGTAACCATTTGATGGCTGCGAAGAAGTGCGCGCGCATGCCAATTGTCCCATCTCCACACCCGTTCCGAACCCTGTCCGAGACCGCATCGGTCAAGCTTCGCGACCGGGGTGGTTAGTGAGGAGCCGAGTTCACCATAGCGTCACGTATTCCACTCGCTTCTCTTGCGCAGCTCGCCCGTTTGCTACTTGCCACTTAGTTCCAGTACCATGGAAGTTCTTGTCGAACTTCCTTTGGTTGAAGATATCTGGGCAAAGCTTCACGAGCTTGAGTCAAGCTTGCTTGGCTCCGAGGCTTTCGCACGCGCGTTCCCCTGCGCCGGCTAGCCATTTTCTGAGCAGAACCAAAGGCTCGGCATTGGTCAGTTTTCTGTGCACCTCAGCCAACCTTGGGATTCGTCACTCGCTGTTCGTTTTACTTCAGCGCAGCTGAGCTGATCGGGCGCCATGGGGAAGCACTTTATGGATGACCTGGTGCCTGGAAGCAGCCTCTAGGCTGAAAGTTGCGTTGATGTCCACGCGGCCCGATGCATAGGGGGGGATCAACCGAAAGGGCCGGATTCCCTCTTAAGCTTCTTACATGGGACACCTCCCTTGTCAGGCAACCGGGGCAGTCATGATGGGTTCCCATTCAACAGACAGGGTGAAGCGGCGGCTCGCGACTCGCGACGGGCCCATTTCGAGGATTCCCTTTTGAACACCTGCGACTTGGAGATCTGTTTCTCCAGGAACCTAGGGGCCAAAGCCAACACATTGGTTGCACAGCAGCTGGGGGTTGCAAGGACGCAACTTGAAGGGCTGAGGACTTTGAACTTGAAACTTTGGTTGATTCTCTATCCAAGGACCGTTGTTCAAAACCTACTAATAAAGTATATGACGAAGGCACGTCCTCTGGTAATGTTGAACTACAACTGGAGGAGCTATACTGAGGGTCAGTGTCTTTCACAACAAACAGTTGAAGGGCAACCATCCAAATTATCCACACGGAACATATTGGCATGTATCACAACGAAGATCCTTTTTGTGGACCCTTCTTTAGCAGCCATGGTAGAATCAATAGTTATTTTTGCCATGCGTCGGGACCAAGATCGGTGGATGTGGTCAATTCCATTGTGATTTGCGTCAAAAAATGTGATTTGATTTTTGGAAGGAATGAAAATGGACTATGTCTACCGATCTTAGTCCAAACATGTGAAAAGCAGTAAGAAGACGAGCCTTTTACTCAGTTAGCAAACAATGCCGTTCCAAAGAGGTACCATGATTGCACAGAGCTCATGAGATGCGTTTTCAAGGAGCAAGAACGGAACCATCTCCCCCCCCCCCCCCGAACCCCCTAAAGCGCAAAAATGGGCTCAAAGGATACTGAATGATTGACGCATTCTAAGATGAACAGAACAATACAGTGATATCTACTCAAGCAGTCAGATTGGCAGGCACGGAGACTGACGTGTATTTCATGGTTGCGCAGCTATTCTCTGTGAGAATGTGGGTTAAGCCACTGCGGAATGCACAAGCAAAGCTATCAAACTGTGACATTTGCATGCAGTACAAAATACGATACAAGGGATTCCTACATTGCTGTAAGGGTTCATCATGACAATTAATTTCCCCCCCCCCCCCCCCCGCACCGATCTTGGTCCCGACGCATACCTTACTTTTCCAGCCCTTCTACTGTTTCGTTTGCAAACGGGTTCTCCCTGTGGTCTCCTGGCTGCGCGTTGGATGTAGTTTCTCTCAAACTCCACTGAGTGGTTTCCTCTCTCCACGAACCCACGCTTGAGGCAAAACGTGGAAGGACATGTGCAAGAAGGAGACGCCCACAGTGGGCACAGATGGGGTACTTTTGGGGCCCTGGAGGCAGGGATGGCCAGTCGTGGAAAGTTGGGTTCGGCCGCTTTCTGCCCTTAGAGTTGTAAAGTAGCCATAGGCATAGGTGTCCTTGTTGGTTGCTTTTGGTGAAAATAGATGGCCCTGGTTGACCCAGGGCCATCTATTTTTGGACAAGGTGATAGGGACATTCTGCGATGCCCCCTTTCAGTGTCACAGAAAGATCTATTTCCCGAAACCATGACTCTGTCAGCATACCACAAACAGCTTGCATGTGGGGGTACCGGTCCTTTAATTTAGGTGCTTGGTATAATTATGTAAGGCGCCCGTTTGGTGGTTTGGATTGGTTCATTGGTAGTTCGGGGGTTTAAACCTTTCCTTTGAGCCAAATGGGGAAGGTACCTGACATACCACCAAACCAAACCAGCAACTAGGGGTATGGCCTCCAGGCAGGGCACCCTATAGTTCTCCCTGTTCGATTGTTTTGAACACAACTTGTTGGCCCAGTTTTTGAAGGGAGGTTCCTCTAGTGATGTTTGCAGAACCTTATGCATCATTTCATATTCATGGCGCAATTGGGTTATGAGGTGCTCAACTCCCATGTAGTTACGGCTCTTGCATTACAGAGAACCCTCAGTCCCCTTTGTCACATCGCAGGGAGGCCATCATCGCGGCAGTGGCAACCGAGAAGGCGACGGCGAGTGCATTTTCTTCTTGGGGGGAGGAGGGGGGCAAGACTTTGCCGCGTAAAACGTTCAGGGTGCCTCCAAAAAGATAAAAGACCCATGTTGCCCACGATGAGGGGCAAGCGTCTAAAAACTGATCTGAAGCTTTTTGAGCAGGTCCGATTCGCATGCCGCTTTCAGAATTGCAGAGTGGCATGGTTTTCCGCTGTTCCAGGATGAGAACGTTGATTCAGAGGTGCCTTTAAAACGATGTGGTCGCTTGCAGGGCCGTCTCTAGCCGGTCACGCTGTGCTGAGGAAGTCGGTGCCACTCAGAGATGATGGCTCTCAGCACGCTTTGCTCAACAAAAGCACTGCATTGTGAGAGCCTGAAGAGCGAGCGGATTAGTGGAGCAGAGGTACTCGTTCTCAACAAGATGCTGCCACAGAATCATGAAAGCAAGGAATGCGCAGTGCTACCCGTCGCCGGTCCGCAATCAAAATGCACGTTGTTGGTTTGTCCACCAGAAACTCTTCTTTGTGGCCCAACCCGAAGCAGGTAGTTTTTGTGTCCGTGCTGACAAATCCTCAGTTGTTGAGTGGTGTGCATCTGTCGAAGAGGGAGGGCCCAGTATCAGTGCTGGGGATGTCGTATTTTGTCCCACTCCTCCGGTCCAAAAATGACTCACTGCCTGAGTTCCTGGACTTTTGTCGCCTTCTTGGAAGACCATTTGAGTGGCAAACCAAAAGTGGGTCTGTCTTTTTTCGAGGGAAACCAAAGGGGAGCCGCTGGTTGGTTCCCCGTATGCACTCCCCAGCAACTTAACATGGAACCCAAGAATGATTTGTAGAGGAACCTCCTTTTGGTGGACCCCTTCATTCAATTGCCATGTACATAGGAAACCCCCTGGTTGGGGATTCCCATTCAGAGACGCACAGCACGGCAACCGGCCGATCCGACAGGCCGGTCATGGGGAGCGCTACTCGGACGGCCCAGCGGGGCAGGTGCTGGACTACATGATGGAGCCAGAAGCTCAGGATGTTGGTCCCTGAAAGTAGTTGTTTTTTTCTTTTTCGGACCAAATCCGGGGCTTTCTGGTGGATGCCCATGGGTTTTCCAATAAAAACTCTGGCTCTTTCCTGGGGAGTTGTTTCAGTTTTCCGCCAAGCGTCAAGGGAACCCTTCAAAGGATAAGGACCGCGCCTGCCTTTTTGGCCCAGGCAAAAGTGAGGACGCAACGGCATGGTGGTGACCTCTGGCTGAGGCGCGGCTTCAGCAAGTTCCACGCCTCCGCGGAGAAGACGGAGCAAGCCGCGCACGAGGGCCGCATCGGGCCCGGCGGCGGCTACAGCCGGGGAGCCCAAAGGGCGGAAGTGGAAGGGGGGATGGATGTTTCTAAAAGCCGTCGTTGGGATGCTATTTGAAGGGGAACCAACAGAACCCCCCCCCCCAAAAAACAAAGAGAAACAAAAGGAAGGAGACAAGGCGGATGGCCCTTTTTCGAGGGGGCCACCAGAAACTACACAGTTTTGACCGTGATGTTGGGCGGAAGATTGGGTCGTGAAAGCGCTGAATTGTCACATTTGCCTTTGGCGTGCATGCCCACTTAAACTCCCAGCGTGTTACTCACAAGTATTCCTGAGGCCCTTGGTTTGTTGCCAACCAAAATGATTATTGTCAAAAGTAATTATACAACAAGTACTCGTAGAGCAAGCGGTAGTTGGGGAGAAGCTTGGAAGCTTGGGTTGACTAAGTCCTGTATTCGAATCCATGACGCAAGCATTTAACCGTGTCGCCCATCGGTTCGGGCGGCTGTTTCCCGCAACGCCGAGATTTGTGGGTTCCCTAAAGCAACCAAAAACCTGGGATGGGTATAAAAACATGAGACAAGTACCGTCAAAAAGCGCATACACACATGGTGTACTTGGAAGGTGTGGGGACATCCAAAGCTTCCTGGTCTGCTAGTGCGAACAGAAACCATCTCATGTGCCAAAGGCAAAGTCAGTTCGCCAGACCCTTACCTTAAACCCCCTTTGTAGCAATTGGGGATTAGGATTGGCCAAGCCTCCATTTTGAACAAACAGGGCCCGCGCTGTTCCGCTCATGTCTGCAGGTGCCGGTGGCGGTGGCGGTGGCGGCAGGCCAGGGTTTAGGGGCATACCAAAGCGAATCCCCTAAGTGAGAAACTAGCCGTGGGAATGTGCATATTGTTGTGTGTATATATAGTTTATGTCACAGAAAGGGTGATGTGTTGCAATCATGGGCCAGCACGTTAACTTGGGTCAGGGAAGGGTCAGAGGCCTCATTTTTGTAGCGAGCCGTCGCATGCATGCTGCTGTTTGTTTTCCACTAAACATGGAAGCAGTTCCCGAGCTCAGACATACCCAGATGAGTTTGTTTTACAACTCAGCGCTTGTCCAACAATGTTCATGTCAGTTTTCGTTCAAAGAATTGCTGTCAATGGCATATGGCGCACCTGCAGTTGCTATTTCAGGCCAGCATAGCAGAAGCAGAGTGTTGCCTTTGTTGATAGAATAATGGCCCTTTTTCAGGGTCCTTTTGTTGGTGGTTTTCATCAGTGGTTTGGGGGTGGAGCTCCCAATTACACTTGTTGTGACATCCAATGGGATGCATCTAGTTTCCACCAAGCCGGGACCAGTTTTGGACAACGGTCACATAGGCTGGCGCTTAGAGATGAGCAAATGGGAGGTCTGCCACAGACAAGTGAGCAAATCGCAGTTTTCCAACCAGCCAGACTTTGTCCCAGAGAAAAGTGGAAGTGACACCAACCTTTTATTTTTGTGCCTTGGTGCCTGCAAACCGGGCCATTGCTGTCCTTGCAGCGGAACTGTGCCAAGGCATTGAGAAGTATAAGTACAGGATTAAACCACTTGCCAACTGGTCCCGATCGGCGTGGATTTTGTCCATCCACGGTACCTCTGATTCAATCATTCCCCCAATCCCCCCAGAAACCTCAGGAATCTGCTTGTGTGTGTGTGTGTGTGTTTTGATTGGGGATTTTGCAACCGTTCACAAGGTCGGATCAATTTTCTTGACCCTTGCCTGGCCGTCCGCGGCAGGTCGCCGGTGTGTCAGGCGCTCAGATGGCCTTTGGCAGAAAGGCAACAAGCCGATTTCGGTCTCAACAGGAGAGCATGACATCAACCATTTATTTGGGTCTCCTCCAAAACTATTGTATGTTTCAGGGTATATGTGAACCAGGACTTCCACTTGCCAACTAGGACCTTAAGCCCAGCATGCAGGTCTGTCTCAAAAAAAGGGGGAACCTGTTGGATGGTTTCACAGGAAAACCAAAAGGACACCAACTCCCGGAGGAGTTGGTCCCTATGAGAAAGGCCAGTGTAAGCTGCCGTGGCTTTGGCCAATGATAATCATCGCTGTGCGTGGAATGTCTCCAGTGGGTTTTGCTCGCAGGTGACGTTGACATTACCCGGTATCATTAATGTTAGATAGCGATTAATAAAAGGGGAGTGAATACAGAAAAAACATCTCAAAATTATTCACTCTCCTGAAAAGCAAAAAGGGTAGGAATTACAGAAACAAAATCTGCCCGAAATCCGGAAAATATGTTCCCTTCCCAGAATGGACTATTTTTGAGGGTTGAAACGTTTGAGCCCAGCCAGAAAAGTCCAGAATCTCTGGATTGCTTCCTGTCCCAAACCACCAAACTCCTTATCAATCCCTTTACTAGAAGATGCACCCTGACAACTGTTCAAGGGGGTGGCACATGGAACCCCCAGGAAGGCAATAATGCAGTTTGTTTAAGGGTAGGGAATTGTGAAAAAAAATTAACCAGGGCAGCCTGCCAAGAAGAAAGCCCTGCTGTTCTCAGGTAAAGCCAGACAAGTCCAGAATCTCTGGATTGCTTCCTGTCCCAAACCACCAAATTCCTTATCAATCCCATTACTAGAAGATGCACCCTGACAAATTCTCAAGGGGGTGGCACACGGAACCCCCAGGAAGGCAGTAATGCAGTTTGCTTAAGGGCAGGGAATTGTGAAAAAAATGGCCAGGGCAGCCTGCCAAGAAGAAGAACCAATACTAAACCAATTCTAAACCGTAGTGAGCCAGCTCAAAGGAATACTTAACCAGTTCTAAACCGAAGTGAGCCAGCTCAAAGGAATACTAAACCAATACTTCTAAACAATACTTACTGGAAAACTACTCAGGCAGGTCCCAGTCTGACCCCCATTTTTGTTTTTGGGGTTGTCGCTATTGACCCCCCACCCAATTCGTTTGAGGGGGGGGGGCCCTTTGTTAATCACTCTCCAACATTACCCTGGTTGGGTTGTTTTCGAGGGAAACCCAACGGACAACCGTTGTTCTACCCTCTTTTCAAAAATGAGACTGGATATTTTGCGAAGATTACCTGGAAAAGGGTCTCTGGTCCACTTCTGTTCTATAACATGAACTTGGGAGCCGAGAGCCGAGCCCATATGGTACCCATGGCCACATGTCGTCACAAGTCGAGGCCCTCATGGGCCGTCGTGCTATCGCACCAACCCTGATCACTTCAAGGATGCGCTGGGAATGCTTTGCCGGCTGGCTCAACGGTAGGTACCATGTGCCATGTCATGCATTCGCTTCGCTTTACTAAATTGATGATGATGATGATGATGATGATGATGATGATGATGATGATGATGATGATGATGATGATGATGATGATGCTGATGGTGATGATGCTGATGGTGATGGTGATGGTGATGGTGATGGTGATGGTGTTGATGGTGTTGATGGTGACGGTGGTGGAGGAGGAGGTGGTGGTGGAGGTGGTTGTGGTGGCGATGGTGATGGAGATGGTGATGGCGGTAGAACATATTTGAATGTTGGTGGTAGAAACTTATCGCTTGAACGCTGACTAAGTAAAGGCCGTGATGGATTCAATCTAGGTTTGTTTCAAGCCAAAGAAGTGGTGCGGTCTGGGAGCCCTGGGTCCTCCTTATAAAGCCCCAGCACCCTTAGGGCCTTCGGATACAAGGGACGCGCCACAATGAAAATCCAGGTACTTGCAGGCTACAAAGAACAGTTCCAGCCAGAGACTGATGTGGACGTCAACCCTGTGATTCTTAAACGTAGGTTGTTGGTAGACCCTTTTAGTACAAGGTGTTTGATTATGTCTCCGCTTGGACGGTCCTCTTAAAAGGCGCATTTGTTGTATTGATGTGCTTGTTGGGCTAAAGTGTTAACCGCAGGTGGTCGCTTGTCTTGACTCTTTGTAAGTGTCCACTTGGGCCACCATTTTGGCTCAAGTGGGCACTTCCCTTCTGTCTTGGAATCTGAAACTTCTCATTCCCCTCCTATCAAAGCCATGTACGCCCCCGCCTATGCTGGTGCCGCGGTTGCAGAGGCTAAGGCGAAGGCAAAGGCATCCATGGCGAAGTACCTGGCAAGCCTTGCGAAAAAGGAGGAAGAAGGTTGGACCGTCCTGGCGGCTGAGGTCCCTCAGGCACCGGACGAACGGTTCTTCTCCAGCGCCGACGAGCTGGAGCAAGCCCCACTCATCCCAGCCAAGCGTAAGGCCGAGGACGAGCTGATGGCGGACTCCTCCCCTGGGGTGGCGCAGGTGCCGAAGGCCCTGACACGCCCCCCAGGGGCGTTCCTGGAGCTTCTCGACCCTCCAGAGCCGGATGTTCCCATGGAGGAACTCCTGGCGGAAGACGAGGAGGAGCCCCCGATGGAGGAACCCCTGGCGGAAGATGAGGTGGACCCCCCGATGTCCGACACCAAGTGGCAGGGACGCCAGGACCTGATGGAAAAGGCCAGGGCGCAGGCGTCCTCGGAGGGGGATGAGGACCCCGCAGCCCCCCCGCCAGGGGGAAGCGTCTTCACCAAGGCCCTCAAAGTCTCTGAGGGCCTTTACCAATTCAGTGCGGACCAGATGGCGGGCGACTTCCCGTGTTTTGATGTGACCACGGCCACCAGGCTCCGCCGACTGCAGGCCAAGGATGTCCAGCGGCTCCTGAGAGGCTTTGAGGGCCCCCAACTCAAGCAGGGGGGCCTGGAGCGCGTGGTGGAGGCGTTCTACATCGCCAAGATGAAGTATGAGCATGAGGCCCTGCTCAGCACCCCGGGACAGAAGGTTGGCAAGCGCGCTGGCCTGGGGTATGGGGGCCTGGAGAACCGCCCCCTGGGTAAGGAGCCCACATCCTGGATCTGCCCCTGCTGCACCATGCCCTGGGTGAAGAAGGGCGCCAGGAAGTGTATGGGGTGCGGCAAAAAGACGGAGCCCATCGACACGGCGTCCAACTTGGCCACCCTGGAAATGGCGGGCACGCACTGGCAGCTGACAGTGGATGACCAGGGCAATGCGGTCTGGACGGCGGCCCGGTCCGCAGGTGCCGATGGCCCTGATACGGACCGGGCCCGCGACCTCAAGCTCAGCGCCTCGGTGGATGTCAGCGAGCTGGCCACCGACCCGATGGCATGCGAGAACCTGGACCAGGCCAGCTTCTCGGATTTTGTCCCCTCCTCGGTCCGGGCGGTGATCAGGAACTGCCCCATGGAGCTGGACGAGGATTTCCTGACGGCCCCAATGGGGGAAAGGCCCCCGTTGCCGGGCGACAAGGAAGAGGGCCAGGAGTGCAGGGCCTTCCACCCGTCGGCAGTGAAGGCCTTCAAAATCCAGACCCGGCTCAACGCCACCACCATCGCCCAGGAGGAGGCCAAGAAGGCAGACCAGGTGGCAGCGGTGGAGCGATCCGCGGCGGTCCTCCACGAGCTTCAAGGAGGGGCCATCGATGGAGGAGGCGATGGGGGCCAACTCCTCAAGAATTTGGACTTGGACCTCTTCCGCGAGAAACTGCTGGATAAGCTGGGCGCGGACTGGGGGAGGCCCACACCGGAGCTCCTCCAGGCCCAGACCACTGCGGAAGAGGCGAAGGCAAAGCACCAGGCCAGACAAGCGAAGGGCGCCCTCGAGACCAGAATGCTCGAGCCCATCAAGCCTCCATTCAGTGCGTGGCCTAGCGAGGTCCGAGTTGCCATTGAGACAGGGGTCTTTGAGCCGACCACGGCATGGAGGGATTTCAGCATGGACGACCTCACGTCCCTCACGGACTCTTACCTCGAAGCCAAGGCGGTCATCTCGCTGGGTAGGAACCCCTTTCCGGCGGCCCTCCTGGCAGATCTGCCGGATCTGGCGGGGATCCCCATTCCAAAGGCGGGGGGCTCTGGTGCGGCGCGCCCAGGTGCCGAGGGCCCTGACAGGCAGCCCACCATCCCCCCAGCTTCGGGCTCTGGTGCGACGAGCTCAGGTGCCGAGGGCCCTGACAAGCCGTCCGCCACCCCGGGGGGCCTGGACACCCAGGACCCGGAGGTGCAGCTCGCGGTCCTGCGCTGGATGATGAGCAAGCGTGTCGGAGAGGTCCGCATCTTTGCGGGCCGCTGGGTCCGACGACCGGGGCCCGTACACGTCCCGGACTGGGCCAACAACCTCACCAAGGTGAATCCGGAGGCGCTGGAAAAGGGTACGCATCCCAGGAACCACCAGGCGGGTGGACTCCCATGGGCCAGGTACTCCGTTGAGGAGCTGAACCAGCAGGCCAAGGCGGGGGACCGACCATACCCCGAGGACCTGCGATCCATCTTCTGGGCGGCCCCCCACGATCCGGAGGAGGACTTCCACTGGGCGCGCCAGATCTCGTCCTGGACACTCCCAGGCTTGCTGGGGATGTTTGGTCACAGCTTCACTCTGCGCCAGCTCTGGGGAGTTTGGGAGTCTCTGCCATTGCTTCAGGGCCCTAGACAGCGGGGCCCGAAGAACAAGGCCCAGAATCAGATCCGCCTGGAAGGCTGGGAGACCCTGAAGGAAGATGCTCGGTGCTTCCAGAAGGAGGAGGGCCTTCCGCTTCCGCAGACAGGACCGGAGTGGCGCCTGGTCTACCGGGCCATGGGCAAGGTCCTTGCGGCCCGGGCCTTCCTCACACACACCCCGGCGGAGGTAATGCAGCTCCCGGTCCAGGACGTGGCGGACTCCAAGGAACAGATGATCCTCCGGGCGGTATGTGATGAGCGCATATCTGTCCCGGTGGAGAGTCTCCAGCAGTTCCCAGAGGTGTACCAGGCCCTCATGGACCGCATTGGAGGCCCGGGGGCCCTGGCGGAGGTGAAAGTCAACTGGCGCTGCAACACGAAGCAGTGGTGGGTCGGCGCAGTCCCCGACTCAGTGGCCCCCTCCATCTACCGCAAGCTCGGCTACACCAACGACATGATCAAGCTGATGGGCCTGGACCCCTCCGCCCCCGGGTGCCGGACAGGTGCCGATGGCCCTGACATCCGCCCCAGGGGAGGAGAGGGCGATGAGGGGATCGTCTACCCCCCCATCACATCGGACAACGTCCACGGCGTGGTGGGCAAGGATTACAAGAAGAAGAACTTCTCGGCAGAGACGAAGCACGTCTTCTGGGCGCACATGGAGTGCGGCCTGGTTCTGAGCTCAGTCACCCCATGGGAGCTCATCCCCAAGACGAAGGGGGAGACCCGGGGGGGCTATATGTGCAAGTACTGCAAGGGGTACTGGCGCGCCGGGGGAGGGGGCACTCGCCTCCTCCAGATCCGGGCCGGCAAGGCCATCCTTCAGCTGGTGCTGGACGAGCCGCCCGATGGACTGTACAACCGCTGGGTCAAGGAACGGCTGGAGTTCTACCGCCGGGTAGAGCCGTCTGCCCCGCTGCGGGATGTCTCCGTGGTGGACCAGAAAGTCCCACGGTTTAGGTTCAGCCACGTCACCCAGACCGGCCATGTTTCAGATGCCATCTGGGAGCTGATTCTCCGGAACCCGGAGGCGGCGGCGCTCAAGCGCATTGACGACATTGCCAAGGGGGCCGTGTGATCATGCAGCACTGCGGCCATCCGGAACGGACTCGCAGGGCACCCCGGGGGAGGACAGCTGCCGATGGCGCTGATATCCCCCCCGGGCACAGCACAGGCCTTGACCTGTACCAGGCGAGAAAAATGGGCGCGCTTGGGCTGGTCCGGAGTGCGCCTGGGCTCCCCCCCTCGTTTGGTTTTTCCCTTTCCGTGGAGGCTCCCCGGGTCCCCCCCCCCCCGTTTTCGGGTTTGGCTTTCCGGGGTTTTGGGGCCCCCCCTGTTGTTGGGTTGGGGTTGGCGCCTAGAGATTTGGCTCCGGGCTCGAGTGGATCATGATGATGTGGAGGCCCCGCCTCCCTTCCCCGTTTGGAACGACCTTCCTAGGGGTCCCAACCGCGGTCCAGTTGATTTTGCATGACCTTGGATTTGCACCAGTGCAGTCGGACGGGGAAATCCTCGTGGCGTGCTGCCTGGAATGGGTCAAAAAGGACCAGGTTGCCAACCCGGATGCGGTGGTCTTCGACCCGCGACCGTGGACACGAATCGTGGGGATGGCACCCGACGATAACCATGTCCTGGTGGCCTCGGACACCTACAACTTGATCCTCGCAAGGATACTCGGCTCCCAACCACAACCGCTGGAGGAGGCGGATTTGGAGCTCGCTACTAAGACCCTGCAGCAACTTCTGTTTCGTGCGGCAGGCGCC